GTCCAAAACATTATAGAATCTAATTGTAACTTAATTTTTGGATTTTATTTACTTTATAATTACTTATTTTGCACTATGTCCTCTAACCTTTCATTTTGCTACTCATTTTCTACACATGTCTCGTGATTCTCAACCTTGATTCTTCGCACTGCCATTACATCGTCTACATCTTCATTATCATCATCACATTGTGAATGTTGATCCAATTCTTAGGCACTACTGATGCAATGAATGAAGACTTTTTATAATCAGACCCTATCGTATACCATAATTTGTTATTTTTCCATTTTAGGTTATACCTAGCTGCAGCTAGCCAAGGTATACCTAAAAGTACTTCAAAACTTGCAGCTTTTATGATGTAGAACCCTTGTATGATATCAATGCCTTCGGTTATTATTTCGATATTAGGGATATATTCCACAAATTCGCTCAAATGATCATTGGCCATTCGACCTTTACTTGTCACAGGTTTCCAGGATAATCCTCTGTGCCTAACGAATGATTCATGCATAAGGTTCAAACGTGAACCAGGATCTATTGGAACTTCAACTGCTTTGCCGTTTATCTTGGCTATACCAACGGGAATATTTCCTAATTTCAGATTCTTACCAGTTAGTATTCCCCTTACAATCCTAATTTCAGCATTTACTAACAATACATCACTTTTCTTTTTCTTTCTAGTTAGTGCTTTAAGCACTTCGGTTCTGGCTTTGGGAGACCATTTGAATAGTTGTCCTAAAGTTATAGGGAATTCAAGTGATACCACTTTTTCTAAAATGTCTAATTCATTTGTTAATTCAGAAATCGGGATATATATTATAGATTTCTTTTTATATTGTTCAATTTCCTCAGGCACATCAACATAAGTGCTCTTTTGAGCCCATGATAGCATTTCATGCTTATCTTCTATTCGTCTCCTTTTTTCAAGGTTTCTTACATCAAACAGTGATTTACCCTCTTTTAATTCAACCCTTAGGTATTCATCATCCCCATCCTTCTCTGTTTACGTGACTTTGAGATATCAGACATTCATGCCTCTGACCTCAGGATTGTCAGGTTGATTATTCCTTACTGCTCTTGTTTGATCATTGGGTTGAGGTTGCATTATTCTGTTGGGACAATTCCACGCAATATGCCCTTCCTAGTTGCATTCATAATATCTACGGGGCCTGTTTGGCTGATTTCGACTATTGGGTTTCTGATTTTGCATCGTTTGATTACGACGCATGATAGGCTTCTTATTTTCTCTAAGATCCAAGATGGCCTTTGTCAATTCTTTGATACTAGATTTCATTTTGGCTATTCGATCATCTGGATCTTGACTTTGACCAACGCGACAAATTTTTAAAGCTTCAAAAGCTGAGGTAAGGTCATCCACATCTGATTTAGTCATATTTTGCTCTTCATTCTTGGATCGGGTAGGGCTTTTTACACTATACTCATTGTCTTTGCTATACTTTTCTACCTTTATCGCCCATTTTTTTGCATCTTCATATATTTCAGAATACTGCATTTCAACCCTTTCTTTAAAAGGTTCCCGTAACCCTTGTACATACCATTGTCTTTTTTCAAGACCCTTATATGATTTTTCACAGCTTCTGTACACACATCGAACTGGTTGGTATATGCCTTGATCGTATCATTCGGCTTTTGCTTCACACTCTTCAACTATTCTAACTTCTCTTCAACATCGCAAGAAGCTTGAGCACCAGAAATGACAGCAGCTTTCAGGTCAGCCCAAGTACTATTGGCCTTTATTTGCTCACAGATCCAGGGCTTTAGGTCATCAGAGACATGAAGTCTTATTACCTGCTACATTTTATCTCCATCCCAATCCTTTGATGCACTATATGCTTCATAGTCCTCCAGAAATTCTTCAATGTCCTCATCGTCACGGTCATGGTATATGGGTTTGGTCGAATCAGAAATACCCATTTCGTTGTTAGACAGCTAAGTATTGCCTTTTTGATCTCGGTTTATTGGTTCCGGTTGTTTAAATATATGTCAGGTCCCTGAAAAAAAAAATCTTGCTATTTCCTTTATTAATATCATTCCTTCTTTCGTATTCTTATATGTTATCTTTGGCAGAGCACAAAATCCAATGCGAGTAGCACCTTTGTTTGCCCAGGTTCTTCCTTGTCATGCAGGTTAGTAGTAGGTGGCTCCTACTATTGATCTAGCTCGACCAGGTAGAGATTGCTACAACTTGTTCATATTCGCTTCACACTGCAGATACTCTTACGACGTTTACCACCCAACACACCTTTGTGGCACTACTTTCACAGTACTCAAGATACTAGAGAATGATTCCACACAGACAGGTAACAGGTTATTTATATGTAAAGCACTAGTTATTCACTAGCGAAAGAAAAGACTAACTTCTTTTATTATTAATTCTCTACCTCTATATATACTAAATTTGAGTCTATTAGACTACAAATTGATGACTACATATTTTATGCAAGATTATGCACAAACTACAATAGACTTTCCATCAATAACGTATACTTAATTTATGCACTATATTAAACTATCTAATCATTACATTATTGATCTACCCGATTTACGCATATTGCCCACCCAATTATATTGGGTTACCTGATCATGTGGTCACGTGATATCGTGAACTGCATTCACGATCGAAGTCTATGTACATAGTACACTGGGTACTGGTTAATGGCACGACAATCAACTATATTAATTCTTACTGAATAAGTTAATATATGCATTCAGCAATGATAAATTTTTTCTGCTTAATATAGCTGATTAAATTGAATTTGTGACTTATAGCCTTACAGATAATTTGGATGAAAAACTTAAACTAATAGAATCAAATTATTTTAAGTATATCGAAGAATTCAAGATATACAATAGCAATTCAATATAAGTAATTTAAATACAATAATATTTTAAAAGTTTTTAAAATATTTTAAATATAATGTTATTTCAAATGTAAATTAGTGAAAAGTGATTTAAATCATTCTTTGACTATTTAAAAAATATGTTTATAGAAAAAGATATTACTAGATTTGGGTATTTGATTAGCATAATACTTTATACAAATATAAAGCCCTTGATTTATATTTATTTACGTTATAACAAGCATTCTGGCTTTACTTAATACAGATGGTCTTGTTATTGTTGCTATATCTGCTAATAATAAAGTATTTTCTAAAAATTTGAATTATAAAAAAAATACTCTATATGTGGTGGTTATGACGACAAAAAGTTTGAGGAATAGTGCAAAATAAGTAATTATAAAGTAAATAAAATCCAAAAATTAAGTTACAATTAGATTCTATAATGTTTTGGAC